CGCTGTTTATTTCTTTCTTGCAGCGTGGCTACCAGAGCCAGCAATGACTGATAGGCCACTGTACCCACAGGTCATTTCCAGGTCACCAAAGGGAGCTCATTCTACCACAAAACCGTGTTCCAGTTTGATCTCACCTACACCTGGCAGTACAAAGGCCAAATAGTGGGTGTCCCTACAAAATACCCACGTGGGGCCCCAGAAACTGGTAGCTGAACCCTCAAAGCCAAACTGGCCTTGCTTCAAGACTTTAATTACTTAAATATGGTTTGACCTTTGTGGTTTTTGTGGTGGTATTGCTATGAACAGGTAAGAAATGTCAGGACAGCCTGGCCGGCATGGCTCAGTGGTTGAGCATCAACCTCTGAACCAGGAGGTCACGGTTCAATTCCTGGTCAGGGCACAGGCCAGTGTTGCAGGCTCGATCCCCGGTGTGGGGCGTGCAGGAGGCAGTCGATCCATGATTCTCTCTCACCATTGATGTTTCTATTTCTCTCCCGCTCCCTTCCTCTCTGACATCAATAGACATGTATTACAATAATAAACAAATGCCAGGACAGCCCCGGGGAGGTCCGTTGGTTGGAGAGTCGTCCCAATGTGCCAAGGTTTTGATTCCCAGTCAGGGCGCATAGAAGAACCAACCAATGAATGCAAAAATAAGTGGGACAAATCTTTCTTTCTCCATCTCTCTCTAAAATCAACTTTAAAATTTGTAAAAAACAAATGCCAGGACAGCCTCAAGATCATGTTGTCCACAGTCTCCGCCCTAAGGAGTGGACGTCGCATGAGGTTTTGCTTCCTGTGTATGTTGTGCCAGGAAGCTAGAGACCTGTTCTATCAGAGTTACCTGAATGGATCCTCAGCTGTCTTATGGCATCAGTTTTATAACAACAGAATTAAAACAGTCACAACGTGGTTAGGGAAATGGTGGTTTCACAAGGCATCATGGTAAGTATGAATGTTGCTTCCCTTACTCATTCTCCCTGCAGACAAATGCCCCATCACAGATGATGGCCAGGAGTGTGTACTGTTACCTAATTTGGGGATATGCGAACAAAATGTCGTGTGTCGACCAGGAATGTACTGGACAACCCGCTGTGAATTCAGACCATGTTAACTAGGTTCTGAATTAGGATGTCAGAAGTTAGGTCTGGCTCAGCTCGTTTGTTCAGTGAACAAATCTCGATGACCTGCTGTGGACATCCTGACACTATTGACACCCCTGGAATCAGCAGGACTGATGTACAGCGGGCCACTGAGCAGCCTTGGACCCTTCCTCGAGTGCTGTTACCCTCCATCTTTCTGGGTGGACGCGGACAGCAGCCCCAGGCTCCTAGTTCAAGGATGAGCGTGGCTCCACGCCTGTTGTTGCCCTTGGCCATGCTGCTCTTCTCTCTGTGGGCTGCTGTGGCCTCGGGAGAGTGAGTGGCTTTTTATGTTGTTATTTTATGTGGTGGTTTTTTTATTGATTGTTTTTGTCATCCTCACCTGAGGATATTTTTCCATTGATTTTTAGAGAGAGAGGGAAAGACAGAAATAATGTGAGAGAAACACATCGATTGGTTGCCTTCTGCACAAGCCCCGACCAGGGCCCATGCCAGGGAGGAGCCTGCAACCGAGGTACATGCCCTTGACCACAATCGAACCCGGGACCCTTCAGTCCGCAGGCCAACGCTCTATCCACTGAGCCAAACCGGCTTGCTGAATTATTTTTTTTATGTTTTTATTGATTTTTAGAGAGGGAGAGAGAGAGAGAGAAACATTAATGATGATGAGAGAATCATTGATCGGCTGCCTCCTGCACACCCCACTGTGCCCTGACTGGGAATTGAACTGCAACATCCTGGTTCATAGGTCGAGGTTCAACCACTGAACCACACTGGCTGGGCTTTATTGATTTTTAGAGAGAGGGATGGAGAGAGAGAAACATCAATGAGAGATCGGCTGCCTCCTACACGCTTCCTCCAGGGGACCAATCCCACACCCTGGCATGGAACCCGTGCCCTCCTGGCTCAGGCCCACCCCTTCCTCCTCTGCAGAATTGCACTGAGCCCAGGGTCAAAGGTCACCGTGTGTTCTGGAAGCCAGGACCCAGCATCTCCTGGCCAGGTCCTCCAAGGCCCGGGGTGAGGCGGCAGGCGTGTGCGGTTGGTATTTTTTTCTAGTAAACAGGTGAAAAGGAAGCGCGAGAGTCCAGACCCCCAGCTAAGCAAACCAACATTTGCAGCATAACATCTGAGCTTCCTTACTGTGAACTGGACATTTTCATTCTCAAAATGGAAGGCCGGGCCTGAGTGGACATGAGTGCACATCCCCATATCCAGGCAGACGGAGGAGCAGGGACCTGAGGCTGGGCTCGGCCTTTGGACAGATGTGCATCCGTCCCGGGCAAGTTGGATCAGCCCTTGAGTCACCTTGGGTCACCTTGGACGCTGCCTCCTGTCCCAGGGCTGTGCCGCCAGCCTCGGCTCGGAGTGAGAGTTGAGGCTACACCGGCTCAGATGCCCCAGGAATAAGCCTGGGCCCAGACAAGGGGTGGTTGCCCCGGGCAGCTTGGGAAGCCAAAGCATCTCCCCAACCAGGACGGAGCTGAGCGGGGAGAGGGCACGTGACCCCCAGACCCTGAACTCGTACGTCAGAACTGAAGGCAGTTTCACGCAGCTGGCCTGAGGGGAGCCCACAAGGACGAGTTGGAGCCTCTTTCTGGCTGGCTCCTCTGGGAACAAGGAGCCAGGGTTACGGGTGGGCACCACACCCCCGCCCATTCCCCTGCCCTGGGCTTGGCCTGGGCATGCAGTCGGGAGCTGGGGTCCAGTGGCTGGAGCGGTCTCCCCTCTTGTGCTCCCAGGGTGGGCTGTCCTCCTCCCTGGTAAATGGGTAAAGCTAGTTTATAACCAAGGGCCTAGCCTCCGCGACCGGGAACTGGTTCAAGGGTCTGGTTGACAGCGTGCAGGAAAGGTCTGTAAGGGTGTTGTGTAGTCCGGCGGCATAGCTGGGTGGCTGGTCAGGGCACATGCCCGGGTTGCGGCCTCCATCCCGTGTGTGTGGTGTGTGCAAGAGGCAGCTGACCAGTGATTCTCATCATTGATGTTTCTCTCCTTCCCCCCCCCCCCCCCCCCCGTCTGAAATCAATAAAAATATTGAAGAGTGTTGCTATGACCAGGCTGGCTTTCCAGCACAACGGGGTTCCCGAGTGCCCCCCCTCCCATCCTCACTGCCTGCTGGTGCCAGGGACTGGGTGTGCTTCCAGCGCCTCCACCCTGGCCCGGAGGGATCTTTTTCTTGGTAATTTTCCTGCCTTTTGTTCTGGAAAAAAAAAATTCTCAGGAATGATTTGCAGTCAGCCCCGCCCCTGGGCAGACATCCAGGCTGTGGGTGTGGAGGGTGGGGGTGGGGGACATCCAGGGTCGCCCCTGCCCTGGTGGAACATCGTGTTCCCTACAAGCATCTGCACGTCCAACCCAACCCTTGAGCCGGCGCGGGGGCCACTGGGAGTTCTTGAGGCCAGAGAGGGTGGGGTTGAGCAAGAACGGCTCGGCTCGTTCCGCTTAAGGAACAGGCAGGAAAGGGGTGTGGAGAGATGCTGATTGTCTATGCTACCCCCACCCCACCCGCCCCCACCCGCCAGGGCTGCTCGGGAGGGAGACGAAGTGCAACAAAGGCTGCCCAGCTGCCGTCTTCAGGCGGAAGGACCGCCTCAACCTCCTGGTCCAGTTCTTGCCTCTCCGGCTCTGGACGACCTCTGGCCCTGGCCCATTCCTGCTGGGCCTGGTTCCTTCATCCCTGAGGCCAGCTCTCTCACTACCTCCCTCCATCTCCAGGCCCTGCAGGGCTTGCTGCCCGGCCCTCGGCCCTCCATCATCTCTAACCTCTGGTGCCCCTGCCCCCATCAGCAATGGCCTCGCCTGGTTTTTAGGGAGAAAACAGGAGCCACAGGCCAGAAACTGAGCCTTTCCTCTGCTCCCCACCTCCTCCTGGAGCGCCGGCCCCATCGCTCTCCCTTCAGGGCAAAAGCCTTGATGTTTGCCTGCAGTTGTCTCCACCAGGGCCCATCCCGCAGGCCCCAGTGACGTCCTCAGGCCAAACTCACCATGGTGGGCCCTCCCTCCTGCCCCGAGGACCATCTTCTCAGGACGTTTACTAGGCGTCCCCGTTAGTAGTCAATCCGCATCATTCACCAGGATGGTACCGGTTAATAATGTGGATACCGGTTAATAATTCGGATTCAGTAATCAAAGAAAACACGATAACTTCTTTTCTTTTTAAAAAAATATATTTTATTGATTTTTTACAGAGAGGAAGGGAGAGGGATAGGATCCGGCCCGTTTGGAATGAATAAAACTAAAAAAAAAAAAACCGTACCCTTTTTTTTAATGATGTTTACTTTGAATTTATATTAGTTCACACAAACACTCCATCCATGCTTTTGTTCCGGCCCTCCGGTCCAGTTTAAGAACCCATTGTGGCCCTCGAGTCAAAAAGTTTGCCCACCCCTGCTCTAGCCACTGAGCCAAACTGGTCAGGGCCTTTTTTTTTTTTTAATATAAAATTTTAAAACTATGTGGAATATTATAACAAATACAGAAAGGTGCATAAAACAAAGACATTATGCTTAATGATTTCTCAGAGGTCAAACACAAAACAAGACTCAGATGAGCCCTGGCTGGTGTGGCTCAGCTGGTTGAACATTGTCCTGTGCAACGAGAAGCTGCTGGCTCAGTCCCCTGTCAGGGCACAGACCCAGGCTGTGCGTTCAGTCCCAGGCTGGTATATGGGAGGCAACCAGTTGATGTTTCTCTCTCTGTCTCTCCCTCCCGCTTCCTCTCACTAAAGACATATTTTTAAAAAGGACTCAGATGGCCCTGCTGACATTGCTCAGGGGTGGAGCATCGGCCCATGAACCAGGAGGTCAGGGTTTGATTCCCGGTCAGGGCACACGCCTGGGTTGTGGGCTGGATCCCCAGTGTGGGGCGCGCAGGAGGCAGCCGATCCACATCTCTCTCATCGTTGATGTTTCTCTCTCCCTCTCCCTCCTCTCTCTGAAATCAATAAAAAAAAATATGTTTTAAAAAAAGGACTCAGATGAAGCACCCTGGAGGGCCCCGCAGCCCCTGCGGTCCAGCCGGCTTCCTCTCTGCTCTCTCCGAGGTTTGGGTCAGGTGGTCATTGCTTCCTTGGTTTTCTTGACGGGTTTCATCGCTTAAACGTGCCTCTGAAAATCGCTTTCTTCACAGTTACACGCCTGTAATTAGACACATGAGGGGCGCGCTGACTGCTGGTGGTGAGCAGTCTTCTATCTTCTCCCCTTCTGCTTGCTCTTGCCTCTTCCTTCTTTCACCCTCACTCTCTGGAACCAGTGGTTACAAGATACTCATTCCCTGGGCTTCTCCTTGCTCCTGTCATCGTGGAATATACGATTACACAGTGGTTTGTCTTTGTTGTATATACACTTAGGTCATTTTAGACACACTTTTCTGCATCTTATTTTTCTCACTCAGCCTGACTTTATGGTAGGCCCTTCCAAACCAAGTGCTATTATTCCAATTCTTTCTTTAAAAAAAAATTTTTTTTATTGACTTCAGAGAGGAAGGGAGAGGGAGCAAACGATAGAAACATCAATGATGAGAGAATCATTGGTTAGCTGCCTCCTGCACGCCCCACACCGAGGATCGAGCCCACAACCCAATACAGCAAAATAGCATACATATCAAATCGCATATATATCAACATATGTGTAACTCCATCTATTGAAAACGGTGACCTCCAGGTTCATAGGTCGATGCTCAACCACTGAGCCATGCCAGCTGGACCATGCTGTGTCCATTCTTGCCATGTCCCAGGTGCCCAGGCCAGGTCAGCCCTGGGTAAGCACTTATGGAACGAACGGAAGAGTGAATTCATGCTGGTGCTGCCCCAGGGAGACGCTGCCCTGTCCAGCCTCCACCCGCACAGGGGAGCTCTGGCATGGGAGCCGGGAGGGCCGAGAGAGTGGTAATTTTCCTGCCTTTTGTTCTGGCGGTGAGGCCTGAATGACTGGTGCCTGTCGGCCTTTTATTCTGAGTCCACAGCGCCTGCTGCAGGTCCTGAAGCCTCAGCGGGGGAACGGGCAGGAGCTGGGCTCGGCCTCCTCCTAGCCGCCCCCCGGGTGTGAGAGCCTTTTGGGCCCGACCCAGGGCTAGCCTAGACCCGGGCCCTCTCACCTTGCCCCCGCCTCCTGTCACACCATTTAACTGCTTTCCCATCACCCTCGTCACTCACCACCTCCTGGCATGCTTTTTATTCAGTCATTCAGCATGTATTTCTGGACCTACTTGGTGTTTGAGGTGCTCGGGCTACATTCATTAGCAACGGGATTTCCACCTCACAGAGCTCACGTTCTAGGGGAGGAAGCCAACGCGGTGAGAGGACGATACTTACATAAATGACTGGTAACGGCTGTGGACGAGAGCAGGGCAGGATGAGGGGATCACACTGGGGGCTCTGGGGCTCTGGGGTGCAGTCCTGTGGAAAGCTGTGGCAAGTGCAGTCCCCATTAGGGGAACAGCTGGCCCCAGTCCCGGAGCCTGGAGAATGCACCGTGTGATACGTGGGAAACCCGGGAGGCTGAGCAGTGGGGCTGGAGGGGAGCAGAGGAGATGAGGAGGGGAGCAGAGAGAGGAGGAGGAACCCCAGGCACACCCACTCCTGGGGATCAAGCCCACAACGCGGGCATGTGCCCTGACGGATCGGGAATCGAACCAGTGACCTCCTGGTTCTTAGGTTGATACTCAACCCCTGAGCCACAGCAGCCGGGCAAGGGTAAGCTTTTTTAAAAAAACCTGTTTTTTGTTTATTGCTGTATTTCCACCACAGAGCATACATGCTCAATAAATATTTGGTTTTGTTTGTTTGTTGTTAATCCTCACCCGAGGATATTTGTCCATTGATTTTTAGGGGGAGTGGAAGAGAGAGGAAAAGACAGAAACACATTGATCAGCTGCCTCCTCCTGCACGAGCCCCCACCAGGGCCCGGGCCCTGCAACCGAGGTACGTGCCCTTGACGGGAATCGAACCAGGGATCCTTCAGTCCGCAGGCCGGCGCTCTACCCACTGAGCAACACCGGCCAGGGCTAAATAGTTGTCGGATGAATTCTATCTGCTTGATCGCACGGGGCTGCAACACTGGCGCCTTCACGCGAAGAGCAGCGCCCAGGTGGGGAGCCCCGGCCCTTCTCCGCAGCACCAGCCCCTCCCTGGCCCCCCCCCCCAGGGACACCCACAGTCACTCCGGGGAGCCCGACGGGCCAGCGCCGCTTCCAGGACACTGAGCCTCACACTAGACCCGCCACGTGCGGCGGGGTGGGACCTGGGTGGACACGGGGCCACCACCCACCAGTCACAGCAAACCTGAAGGCCGTCCTTCCGTCCACCCCTCTGTGGTCTAGCTTCCACCTACTGGGTCTCACACACCTTTGAGAAGGCTACAAAAGACCCAGGCCTGGCTTTCTTTGTAGGAATAGAACTAAAACGTCAAAACAGGCTACTTCGTAGGGTTTAAGATTTCTGGGATTCATAAGATTTCTGAGATCAGCCATGTGAGCTCAAGTGCTTTGTAGAGGGTCAGTGGGTTGTCTGAGGCCATGGAGCTGCTTCTTGTTGTGGACTATTCATGGTCCCCTGGGATGCAGCTGGAGAGTGAGATGGTGGTGATGTCCTGCAGCTCTGATCCCATCACTGTGTCACAAAAAGTTTAGTCCTCTGGTGTGTACCTGATCCTCACAGATGTATCCCTCCATTTCCATCCTCAGATAACTGCAGTTCTCTTCAGATGTCTGACCAGATGCATGTTCACTGGCAGCCTGAGCAGCACCAACCCTGCCTTCTTTCCTCAAGCTGGGTGAGCCAGGCTGGCTGGGGTGCAGGAAAGGGCAGATAAACGGCCCTTGGGTGGGTTGAAATGCTATTAGAACCATTAAGATTTTTAAAAATATTTTTTCTGTGTCTGCTCCTTCACTAGAACAAAGCAACCAAAGTGATGCTTAGCTCACTCTCATGGAAGCACAGTTTGCCCTGGACCAGTGCCACATGTCACCAGAGCAGTGAAGGGGGCAACTGGAGGAAGAAGACAGGGCATTCCTCCCCAGCAGTGTAACACCCTCACAGGCATGATGCTGTCTGGAGAGCTGACCCCTGCTGGAGCGCTTAAGGCTTTTAGGCACAGAGTGTACTGATCTGATTTATATTTTTTAAAGATCACTCTGATTTGCATTTTTATTTTTATTAAAAGTTATTGTACTAATTAAATTGTTTTCAATTAGAAATGACATTCAATATTAGTTTCAAGTGTATATAATAGTGATTAGACATTAATATAACAAATAGAGTGATCCCCTGATAAATATAACATGGGGGATATTTTAAAAGGTTATTAATCCAATGCATGGAGAGTGGAGCCCTCATAACCTAATCAACCTCAATAGACCCACCTTTTATTTATTTTTAATCAAACTTATTTGGGTGACATTCATTAATAAAATTGCATAGGTCAGGTGTGCCATTCTATAATGCATCATTTGTATATCGCATTGTGTGCTCACTGCCTTCAAGTCAAGTCTCCTTCCATCACCATTAATCGCTCCTATGCCCTCTTTTTCCTCCACCCACCCTTCACCCACCAACCCTATTCACCACTCCCAACACGCCACCCCCACCTGCCACTCCATACCCCACACCCCCAGCACCCACCTGCCACCCCACAATCACCAGCCCCTCCTGCTACCCACACACACACACCCAGTCCCCTCTCCTCCCTTCCCCCTCCATGAAGGGTCCTCTCTTCTCCCTGCCCTGCCTTATCCATGGAGGGTCCCTTCTCCTCTGTGATCCGTCCCCTCCATGGAGGGTTCCCTCTGCTCCCTGACCTCTCCCCTTCATGGAAAGTCCCCTCTCTTCCCTGTCCTTCCCCCTCCATGGTGGGTACCCTCTCTTCCCTGCCCCCTCCATGGAGGATTTCCTACCCCCTCTTCCCTGCCCTTTCCATGGAGGGTCCCTTCTCCTGCTACCTTGTCCCCTCATGGAGGGTTCCCTATTCCCCTGCCCTGCCTCCTCCATGGAGGGTCCCCACTCCTCCCTGCCTTCTCCCCTCCATGGAGGATTCCCTTCCCTCCCTGTCCTGCACCCTCCATGGAGGGTCCCCTCTCCCCCTACACTGTCCCCTCCATGGAGGGTTCCCTATCCCTCTGCCTGGGCCCCTCCATGGAGGGTCCCCTTCTCTTCCCTGCCCCCTCCTCTCCATGGAGGGTTCCCTGCCCTCCCTACCTTGCCCCCTCCATGGAGGGTCTCCTTTCCCTCTACCCTGCCCCCTCCATGAAGGGTCCCCTCTCCTCCCTGACACGCCCCTCCAAGGAGGGTCCCCTCTCCTACCTGACCCATCCCCTCCATGAAGTGTCCCCTCTCTTCCTTGTCCTGCACCTTCCATGGAGGGTTCCCTGCCCTCCATACCCTGCCACCTCCATGGAGGGTCCCCTGACCCCCTATCCTGTCCCCTTCATGGAGATCCCTGCCCCCCTGCCCTTCCCCCTCCATGGAGGGTCCCCTTTCCCCCTATCCTGTCCCCTCCATGGAGGGTCCTCTCTCCCCCTACCCTGCCCCCTCCATGGAGGGCTCCCTGCCCCCCCCCCCCCGCCCCCCCCCGGCCCCCCCCCCCAGGGACACCCACAGTCACTCCGGGGAGCCCGACGGGCCAGCGCCGCTTCCAGGACACTGAGCCTCACACTAGACCCGCCACGTGCGGCGGGGTGGGACCTGGGTGGACACGGGGCCACCACCCACCAGTCACAGCAAACCTGAAGGGCGTCCTTCCGTCCACCCCTCTGTGCGTCGTCGTTTCCCGCCCATCTCCACCCAGACCTCGGTCCGCCTGGACATTAGACACGCCTCTATCCACCGTTCACAGCCGCTCTTCGTCCGTCTTTCAGTCCATCCATCAGGACCAACTTCCCAGTTTGCTGACAAATGACTCAACGCTGGCACTGAACGCCCCGCATCCCGGGGAGCTCCTTAGACTCCGGGTGATGGTGAGGTTGGCTGACCCGCCCGCCCCGCAGCCAGCCCGCCTTGCACCCGTCGGCCCGAAGCCCATCGGTCCACCCACC